GTACTAACTCTATGGAAGTTTAAACATCTACATTTTGAGTCCTATGTACAGAAGAACACTAATAACATAAATGTCATAAACATATGATCTCAATAGTTAAGAGGAAATTATGACTGTATCATAAGTACTCTTGGTCATTCACTATTTTAATTCGCGTAAACTACTGGAAACAGATCTTTAGTCGTTGGTTTTTTTAAGTATATAAGTACGTTTTTGACAAAAAATATATTAAAACAAGTGACTGCATCATTTATTCCAAAACTCTTACCAGGAAAAAGCTTGCCAATTAACACAAAGAGGAAGAACTATAAACTTTAATTATAAGGAAAAGGTTTTGTACATGAGCATTTTTTTTCGTGGGAATTCTAATTGAAAATTGCACAAAGAAAAATATATCCAGAAAATTAATCGTCAATGTGTGGGTTTTTTGTCTTCTATTCAATCACTTAATTTAACAAACATATTAAATACAATAGTTTCATCCGATGTTTCATACAAATATATAACACCACTTGTAGGAAGCAAATGTTAACTACTGTTTATCGTGTTTACCCATTTGAATTTAACATTTAATTCCTTTATGTACAAAACTACTTTTAAAAACAACAAACCCTTTACGAGCGCATACTCCATTTGTGAAAGTCATACGATTAAAGCCACACCACAAAAATGCTAGGAAAACACAATGCTTCTGACTCCTCATAATTGCTCTGTATTATGTTTAACTCAGGGACCGAGTACTTACAATGACAGCTGATTTTAAGAGCAGTTTTCCGGAATGTATTTTTACGCAATTCCTTTACCATATCAGGCTATAAACATTGTGATCTATTGTATAATACTTTTTCTTTGCCATATATTTTTACAGATTTGTTTTAAGTTTGTTTATATTTCTCATTAATTTAAACTTGTTTGATGAAAATAAAAAGAAATGTTTGAAATATTGAATTTTTAGCTAAAGGTAGCAAAAATTATATGTGATGCAGACTACTGAAGTTAGACTAAGTTAAAGTGATTAAAGGTTTGTGTAGGTGTCCACATCCTTAGGCTATTTCATGCGCTCGGATCGATAAATCCGAGGCGTATATTGTTTTTGTCCTGTATGTTCGTCTGTCTGTTGTCAACTTTAACCTTCGCCAGAACTTTTGAACTATGAGAGATAGAGACTTTATATTTGGTATACATACTACACTAATGAAGCTCTTTCAAATTACACCATTGTCAGTGATCTTGTGACCTTGACTGTGACCTATATTCTAAAAATAGCTTTTTAGAACTTTCGCCATAACTACTAAGCCATGAGGGATAGATACTTCATATTTAGAATGCACAATCCTCTAATGAAGTTCTTGCAAATGAAACCAAGATCAACGGCCTTGTGGCCTTGACTGTGACTTATCTGCTAAAAATAGTTTTTTTAAACTTTGTTGCCACCGGGCACATAGTGTTTTACAAACACATCTTGTTTTTCATGCAGGTAAATTATTTTTTTATATTGCCCAATGTTTTTACAATGTAGAATAAAACATTTTTATCAGTGCACATGTAAATAGAGTTAGTGAACATTTCCTAAACCTTTCATTCAAATTGTTCGGCAATGATTTTAACATTAAATTGGGTATGAATTATTCCGTTTGCATGAACACGAAAAGAACCACACGGCGGGAATCACTACGATCGAGAGGGGATATTTGCTTTTCCGTTGATCCCGCCTCTGATGGTTTTAGAGGCCTGAATCTGTATTCTTCCAAAGGACTTCTATATATGCTTCTCTGCTGTTTGTTATCTTCGTACTTTCTCTCTTCATTTGATGTCATTTCAATGATTGAGGTTATCGAAGCAGAAAAAAAAACCCATTGTTATAGAAATATTTATTTTCTTCTTCTGAATTCTTTGAAAAAAAGGACCCATACTGAGAAATTCTTATAAGACATTTAATGACAGAGTGCAAAAAAACTGATACCATAATTAGTTCTTTTTATATGATAAAATAAATTTAGTAAGATAATTCATTGCCTTAAAATGATCATGAAATTACGTCACTTCTTCGACGCACAAAAAATACAAAAACTCTAAACCCATACCCACATAAGATAGCGCTTTACTACATCTCCTCCAACTCCGTTACGAACGGAATGATGAAATAACAGAACCTACAGCAATCTTTTCCATTTAATAATAAAGTTAACATAAAACACTCCATTTTTTGAATAACATTTAATTGATAAGTCGATCATATTCGATATATACCACCATAATAATGACATCCATTCAAATTAGACACCGAAAGCGGGGTTGGGGGGGGGGGGTGTTACGATTCTTCTAACTTGCTTGTTGTTTTTACCAAAGCCTTATACAGTTCTTGTATTTTGTTGAACACTCAAACTCTGTCGGACAATTTATAGCATTTCTGTATCAACATAGTATGAGGCTTCAATTTATGGAACAATAGCTAGTAAAATTTGTAATATTATTGAGGGAACAGTGTGTTGCTCCAAATGATCGATTCCATAATGGTCCCAGAGAGGGAAATGTCTTTTGCGTGCCAAATTAAAGTCGTCCTCAAACGTATCTAACATGCTGAATATAAATAGCAATCAAATTTTTTGAATGCCAATTGCAATCTATTGGGAAATGGGGACTATTTTTAATTGATTGTAAATTGAAATGTAAGAAAAACATGCATATAAAGATAATAACCCTACAAATGTTTTGTTTTACATTCAAATTATTTTGCTCCTCTATGATTGGTCCTCTTCATTCATAACAATGAACATATTTTTGAATTGAAATGTTATAGAGCAGATGACACACAAATATAAGTACAGCAGAAATTAAATATTATAGTATGTCATTACCATATTTTCAAGTCTTAGTACCCATACATTTTTCGCACAATATATTTCTGAACTGTACATGTATATGATTTACACATATTTTAACATAATATATTTATTATTATGACACACTATTTATCTTCCCAATTCCTAATCTCACTCAGTCTTCCGTAATAAGAAGAGAGTAAAATAGCAGAAAACTGACAGCTTCCTTGTGTATTTATATTTTTGTTCAAGGTCGCACTTAAATGATTCTTAGAAAACTTAAATAGCTTTTCTGCGTTGTCAACAAAGAATATAGCTATTTGTTGAAAGGGAACAAACTAAAAACGTATTTTGTTTTATGCAGTTCTTTTTTGAAACTTAATAAAAAAAATTTGTTCATTGATACATAATGTATGAAAGCCAGATAGGCTCATTTCTGAAAAAATCCAAAAAATATTTAACTCGTTATAACGAGTCAATTATCTCGTTATAACGACTCAGTTTTATCCAGTTATAACGACTTTGTTTTATCTCGTTACAAGGAGTTAGTATCTCGTTTTAACGAGAAATAACGAAATAATTAACTCGTTATAACGAGATAACTAAGTCGTTATAACTAGTTAATTTTTTTTTATCTCTTCAGAAATGAGCCTATCCGGCTTTCGTACTCGTAATAATGCTATTTATGTATTCTTATGCTTATATGCAACTCACCGCAGCTTGTTTTTGCTAATTTTGTATAAGTCAAATAAAACACTTTCATAGAGATGAATAATGTCATTTATTAAAATGACGGTATAAATGTGAACAATTTAACAAACAAGAAGGGGATCAGATTCACAAGCTTTGATTAGCAGTTACGTAAAATATGATAATGTCTGATCCCCCAAAACTGACTAGAAAAAAGTATCTGTAAGACAAGACAATGAAAACTTCATATGAAAAAGTTAGCAAAAAGATGGCACATCAAAACAAAATAGGCCATACAGTGATAAGAATACTCAGTAATATATCAGATTTATTTAAATATTCTGAAATTAACATATTTCATAGCGTCCCATGAGATGAACGCAGGGTGCTTATATCTTACGAAAATTTTTGAGAAGAACTTTAATTGTATAAATATCATGTCGAACTCAAGCTATTCTTTTCATATTCATTAACTAGAATGTGCAGTTATACCTAGTGTAAATATCTCAGTATCACAGTCAGCATTTGACTCAATGATGAATTGTATTTGCTGACAAGGTCATTGTATCGACCATAGGATTTACGAAATGATTACTTTAAAAGAAACGGCTGTAATAGTTACATCTTGTAACGTTCTTATTCTTTAAACTCACGCAAAATATCCGTTCATGATAGAGACACCAGGCTAAGGGCAACTTGCTTATTCGAAAACATGCTTACAAATAGGTGAATATATGGAGATAACGTTAAGATCAAAAGTCCATAAAACAATACAAAAGAGGAGCAGAGCAAACAAGGACCTCCGAAACATTGGAGGTGGGATCAGGTGCAAAGCAGGAGTGAGATATCCCTGCAGACCGGTCACACTCGCCCTGCGGTCGTTGTTATGATCGGGAAATAACGGGAAAATGCGTCGTCAATTTAGTGTATAAATAATGGTCTAACAATTAGTATGAAAAACGCCAGTTAGCATTTGACTCAATTATAAATTGTATTTGCTGACAAGTGCGTGTGTGTGTGTGTATCGACCATATAACTTACAAATGATGACTTTTAAAGAGACTGCTGATATTCTTGTTTCTTCAACTGGTTTGTCAATGATTTACCTCGTTCAAAAAATGTTTATACGTAGGGAATGGAAGGGATCGTTTGCTTTTTGAGAAATACATAAAAAAAGATTCTCAGAATAGAGTTTAAATTGCACTGTACTTGAAAATGCTTATTTATAGCTAGAAATATACAATGCTTCAATATCCTTGCATTGAAAAAAACTGAGAATAAATGTAAAAAAAAAAGACATACAATGTAGATAAATTAAGATAAGTTGCTTGCAAAACTAAATATTCCCCATGATGGGGCTTTTATGAATAAATCCTTAAAAATTGATAAAAACAATTTAAGTACTAGTATTATAGAAAAGTAACAATTAATAGGTACATGTGAGTCATACATATAGCACATAGTTTTTTTTTCTACATGCACACTTCCTCGATTTATTTTTTTATTGAAGATTAAGGGTTATACTATAGCATCCCAGTTCCTAATACGCTAAAACGAGGAGGCGGTAAATTGTCAAGATTAATTGATTCGCGAAACATGTCGCCATCTAGTGAACTTCTGGGCTCAAGAACAAAATATCCCTGATTTTCATTCTCAGTCAATGTAAAACGTCCCGGGCTCATCAACGCAGAAGTGTCAGTTGCAGATCCAGCTTTCACCATCGTGTATTTTTCATCGATGTCAAACGGAATATCTGTTGAATTCTTTTCTTTTGGTTTGCTTTTAAAGGAAGAAAACTGTCTTAATAACGGACGATGACTGGATTCATTAAAATTATCCATTTCTTCTTCCTTCTTAATACAGGAATACATATAAGCGGGTGATTCTTCCTCTGATATGGTTGAACAGGTGCTTGGAAGTTCACTAACTAAAACTCTTCCTTTTGGATTCATTGCACAGTCTTTACAAGGAAGGCGTAAACTCGATTTTGACTTGTGTGGTTCACAGCATGTTGATGAAGATTGTGTGTAACTATTCAAATTGTTTTCATCTAAAAAGAAATAAATTTACTTTAATTTAAAAATCCTTTAATTCCAATATTCTTAATATGATAAAATTTACACTTGTTTGTAAAAGAAATTGGGTAAATTGAATGGAAGTTGCTGCGCTTCATCTGAAAAGATTTTATTATATGAGGAAACCGATTTTCAATCACACTAAAATGAAATACTCAATGCAAGTACTTGCTCAAAATTAGCACAGATTTACATATGCTGCTCTCTAAGTCTTTTTTTTTAAAATAAGAACACATTTCAACTCCACTTGTCAGAGGCCATAAGAAGTATGTATTAGTATATTCATATAATTATAATGTACCATTGTATGTTGTTACCGTCGGTCTCCAAGAGTTCTTCTCTTTCATTTTGAGACTAAATATAAAAAAAAAGAATAAAGCTAGAAAGTTATTGTCATATTTTCAGTATTGCAAATGATTTGAAATGCATGCTGTGGTTCACATTTCCTAGTTAAAAACAAAGACATTGGCTTTAAGCTGTATCCTATATCTTTAACGACTTTATAAATATGCAGATACAAATAATGTGAAATATATTTCATGGCTTGACTAGCAGATAAAAAAAGAATTATGTACATTCAGATATATACCGTGCTTTACACGCCCCGATAAAAATACAGATGATAAGGACCATTCCACAGACAGATCCCGCAATAATCCAAAGTTTTGTCGAGAGAAGAAATGAAGGGGCGCTCTTGGTATTAGATGTTGGGTAATCTACAAAGAAAATATTTTTTTTTTACATACGCTTTAGAATTTTAATAATTACTATCTATCAACATTTATAAGGTCTGGAATCAAACATTTATGCATGTCGCTTACATGCATATATGTATCAAATTTCAAGAAAATTAAGCAATTGAAACTTCCTCCGATGATCAATTGTGGACGCTAAAAATATTAAAACTAATTGTTGACACAGGAAAATGTAAATATGATTAACTACTTACATTACTGTGTTTTTCAACTAAACCAACTGGTTAATTGATTGGAATACCATTTTCATGCCACGCGTAGAGATATACAGAGAGAAACTCGCGCTAAAGTGACGTCACAATGACACTACAGAAACGCTAATGTAAATAATTTAGTATAAATTTAAAATATTTGAAATGTAAATATAATTAATGTTTTTAATGTACTGTGATTTATTGGTTGTGTAAATCACACAGACTTGCACTATGGCATATTTTAATTTAGTTCTAGCGCGTTTCATGAAATATGAATATAAATGTCAAGTGTGTGTGATTTAAACACCAGAAACAACACAGAACTTAAAGCATTAATTAAAAATGTTTTTATTTAAAAGACATTGATTATTTAATTTAAGGATTTTTAGATAATAGAACTTAGAAATGCCGACGAGGTTATGAGATTTTTGAAATCACTGTTCATAACATTCATTTTTCTGTAAATAAGTAGCTTATCTTGCCTTAATAAAAGATAATTTATAGAGATAGCTCTTGAGTAGCGAAAAAGACATAAACACCCTAAAATAATGATAATTAAGGCTTTAAAAGTTCAAATCATCTCGTTTATCATACAATTTTGTACTTATTTCACCCCATGGTCTATATTCCGTAGACCAACAAAAAAATACAGTGAAATTTCGTAATAACAATCAGAACTGTAAGATCATTAGATTATGAGTGGCTCAATTTTGGTGGATTCCGAGGGTATCTCTCATAAGCGAACTTATAACCTTACAATGAAATAAATGGAGAAAACAAACAGTATTCAAGATCAAAAGTCCTTAAAACAATGCAAAATATGAGCAGAGCAAAGATACCACAACCAACAACCAACTCCTAATTTTAGCTTCGAATGAAAACATTACGTCATCGATAGAGGTAAAATGCTAGGTAAAAAAATATCATGATTAATAGGGAGCGATAGATAACTCTGTTTAAAGGTTCTTTTTATTTGATAAGCATTTGTTGAACACATTATTCGTTTAAATATTTTACACTTTTTTCGTTCTTTTTTCTCCTTACTAGCTGTAGATCACTAAATATTTGCGACACCTTATTTTTGCAAGATTGCTATCAAGTCTGTATTAGCAAGAATTTTTTTCACGAATTATGGGTTTTGCTCTATCTAATCTTAAGGAATGCTAATATACGCGTGAATGAAATTTTTGCGATGTCTCACGTAATTAGGTAAAAATATAGTATTCGCGAAGAAAAAGTGATTTACAGTATTTTTTTTCCCAAACTGAATATTGCAGTTACCAAATCTGCATCCATGTACATGGTGGCACGCTTCTGTACAGTTTGTAGGACATTTTTCTTCGCACATCTGTCCATAATGGCCTTTAGGACACTTTTCTGAACAATTGAATTTCCACCAACCATTTGGACATGCTGAAAGAATCATATTTTTATTCCACTTATTTTAAGATAAAGAGTCAATTGTTTTCAATTCAATCTCATGAAGTAATTAAAAATATTGTTCTTAATTACTTTTAGTTGAGAGAGAGTATATTGCATGTACTTACGAACACATGTATCGTTTACCGCTCTATAGTTTATACAACACTTAATCTTACTGTGATCACTGAAAAAAAATTGCAGGAATTTAGCGAGCGCACATCATAATGAAAGTGAATACTTGTATGTTACAATACTGAAAAAAAACCCTTGGTTTTCCAAAAACGTATCAGATTATATCAGTAATGCTGCCCAAAAGTGTACCTAAATCATATTGAAACAGTGCAAATAATGTGATTTGTGAGCATTATTTATGTTATTTCCTCAAAAAACAAAATCTTACCCATCACTACAGTTGCCTTCTTTTGTTGCAGTGCAGAAAAAAGGCAAAAAGCAACTTATGAAGATGGTAAACATGGCGGCTCTATCAACTAAAACAAGCCAATTCAAGTTTCAGGAAATATTTTTTATCACTTCCGTTTGATACAAGGAATTTAACAAAAACACATTTCATAAAAGAATTATTTAACTAAAGTGTTGCAACCTTTGGTGAAAGCCCTACGTCATATTAGTAGGATTTATGAATTCAAAACATAGCTAATTGTGTCAAAGAATCATTCACGTTTTTTGTAGTTGTTCGTGGATATCTTTCGAACATGTATACTTTGAATGCATAGATAACCTTTTCTGGATATGAAACAGAATGTTTCATTTACACTTGTCCCTTAAAAACCTCTTCATTATTTAGATATTGGATAATAAATTGCCATTTCCTAAAAGGAAAAAAAAAACTAAATGTTTTTTATTAACAATTTGGAAGATGGGCATAACAATGTCATATTAACACATTGATTTAAGGATAATATATTTGATAACTTCCCTTTCTAAGTTAGAGGCCATATATTTTTGGTTTTTCCTTTAATACGTATATACATATTAAGGAAGCAAATGATGACCTCTTATCTAAACAAATATGGCCATCGTATTGTATAATATATGTCTGTAATTATAAAAGCAAAACATTTTGAACAACAAACTTTCATGCATAAAACAAAGTTGCTGAACCAAAAAAAAAAAACGAAACATTTGTATTTGTATACTAGATTTAAATCAGCAAAACCTTGAAAAATTCAAGAATTTTAACCACTACAAAAAGTAGGCCAGAAAATATCTCTCAGAGTAGCAACTAAGCCTAGCTGTATCAATCTGCTTTATCGGAACCATACTGTATCTTATGCAAATAATCTCCTGTATGATACATGAAATTACTTGCATTAGATAAATCTTTTACAGCTTACAATAATTACTCCAAAACACACTGTTTGAAATATTTGTAAATTGACATGATCAAGGTAGGTTTCTTTGCTAAGACTATCAAACTACAGAATACAAGCTTATGTCAATGCTAATTGATGTTGAAAGCACAGGCTTGTATTTTCCGTACCTTATGCCTGAAGACCAACCCGATGACTTTTCCATATACCAAGATTCCAAGACTTTTCCAATTCTTACCATCAATTATTTTTTACGGTTATCAAGAACTTGTTCGAAAATAATCCACTGTCGTGTGTTCATATGTGAAGTGATTTTTCATTCCAAACACGAGGACGTGTTTTTTTCCGGAGCGGTGGGAAACTATCACCGTGTGAAATTGACTGTTTTACTTGAAATTCATTTTGAACTCTAAATCTTACATTTAATTTTTGTTTAGATGTGAAATTTTATATTCTATAATTATTTTATTTTAAAGTTTGCATTTCTACAAATATTTCTCATGTGTAATGTCTAATTCCTTACTTAATTACTGAGTGACACTTGTCAGACACCAAAGGGGCAGAGTGTTTAAGCCCAAAGACCTTTTTATCACTTAAACAAACTACATTATGCAATCATTTAATTATCGGCCTTCTTTATGTCCATGTCATCAAAGCATTTAATTATTTGTTTACTGTATTACTTTAACTCATTGTCAACACCTGTCATTTTTAACTCATTGTTCATTTTCCCATGAATACGATTGTCAAATTTTACTTAATCAGTTCGGAGGCCGGGTGCACTACCGGCCACACGTCCGACTCGTTTCCCCATCATGCTGTAACTATTTCTACTTTTAACAGTTTGGAGTCTATGGCCATATCCAACTGGTTATTGTTTATTGTTGTTCCATGTTAGTCATTTCCATCGTCGGGACTTTACAATAAATTCGGAAACCATACTTATTCCTCGCTATTTTGGACTTTTTATATGTGTTAACAGGAAGAGTCCTTGGAAAACGGCTATACTACTTCCGGCCAACGACGCCACTCACTTCCCCAGCCAACATTCCCTCTTGCCCGATCTACGACACATCTAGACCCAAACTACGTGGTCATACTTCTTAAGCTGACACGTGTATCAGAATAGAATTCTAGCTGACTCTGTCGTCAGTTTCTAAACCTAAATTTCTGAGAGAAAAGAGCACATGCCTTAATCTTTGGAAACTTTCTTAATCATAAATCATGTATTTTCTTTGTCATGTATTTCATCATATTGCAAGTTGAACTCTACACCCTGTCATTCATACAGATACTTTCAATCTTTTCAAATACAAGCAAACCCAACAGTGCCGAGATGTTTAACACGCATCTAAAAAAATCTAAAACAAAAAGTACTAGTATACATGTTTTTTTTTTCTTTAAAATACAGTCCCATTCGACATGTTATTACTGGTGATGTCAATATAGTTGAAAATGAAAAACTATATCTTCAATAAACGTGAAATTCGAAATTCTCCTATCTTGTAATTGGCTTTTGTTTGCTTTTTTGTTTAACGTCTGTCCCTCTTAAGAATTTTTCACTCAAACGGAGACACAGCCGATTGAAAGCTACAAATTTTGACCTATCGTCGGTACTTGGGTCATTTAGCAGTAAGGGATCTATTTCGATCCTGCACCTACTGCGTAAGTTGATATTTAAAAAAAATGATAACATCATTAAGGTGTAGAATTTCTAGTTGGTAGTAATTGTGCTCCTTTCTAAGTTGATTTATTTTTCCAATTCATATGAAGCATATTAAATTCAAAAACGGCGTCATGAGAAGTGCAAATCATTTGCTTTGGTCTTCAACTCGACATTTATTCGTATCGACGATGGATTATCAATTACCAAAAGAATAAATGTTCATTCATTTGCAGATTCGGTAAATATGAGAGAACTTGAAAGTAAAGCTATCACAGAGTCTGTCTCATTTGTTTCATATTTAAATGGTTTACAAACTAGAGACAATATAGGTTAATTAACAACTAAATAAACAAGAAGATTTTAAAATTTCCATCGTCAATTTTTCATATTAATGTAAAACCTACAGACATCCCGCTATTATCTGCATATATCTTCAAATTTATTCGATCCTTAAGAACATGATCCAAGTACGATAAGTTTTAAATCCAGAACGGCTTTTGGCAAATAAGTTGATGATACACAGATTTCAACAACCTCGTTTAAAGACAGCATTTATAAACAAGCTTAGAAGAATATCGACCATTGAATGTACCATCTACCTGACCATGGCGGTTGTGACCGGTCGGAAGAGGATTCTTACTAATCCTAGACATCTAACCCCATCTCATAAATTTTTTGAGGGGTCTGTGTTTATGACTTTATTGTCTTCTTCACTATTTTATGATGTGAATAGAGATAAATCATGGTTTGGCATATTCACTCTTTTCATTTCCTTTACATGAACAATACAGGTCAATTTCATTTTTTTCCACTTCATCGTCCTTGAGGGGGATTTTTTTTTTCATATTTCTTATTTCTAAAAACTGATGAAAATTTCATAAATTCAAGAAGACAATATCAATGTTATTATGTGATGGTATCAGATTTTAAATATGACCGTTTTAAATACTAGTAAAACGAAAGGTCAGGTTACAAGTCATTATTTTTCCTGGAAATCCTAGCAAAAAAAAAAAAGAAGATTTTCCCGTTTTCACTTATGGTAAAGTAATCATATAAGGATTCAAAACGATACAAAAACCAAATGTTTTGATCGTTTACTGAGAGAGAGAAAAAAACTTTTACGAATTTTTGTCTCAAATCTTTATTTAATAAAGTACATGTAAGTATATTGAATATTATATTTAAGAAATAAAGTTCGCGTTTTTATAAATGTTGCAGAATAACCTCCGAGGTCGAGAAATGTTGTTTGAAAGATAAAAGCCGTAGCGCTAGCCGAGGCTTTATATTTCAAACAACATTTCGAGACTGAGGAGGTTATTCTGCATCATTCACGACAACAAGGACTTTATTTCTATTCTACCATGTATGGTACAAACGCTTAATTAAGGATAATCGTTTCCTCTATAGAGAAACGAATTAGGTCAAAATGTCTCGATTACGCTGTTTCATTTAACAAATTTGTTTGCTTACCTGTGTATAGAATGCAGACAATTTGAGCTTTCGTTACATTAAAAATAGCCTTTTTAAATTACAAATATGTTCGTAATATGTATTGATCAGTTAAAATGAATATACAATAACAAAATCATGTTCCTGTTTTACTGCTAAAATCACGTTGTTTAATGTGTAGGGAGGTCCGTGGAATAGCCCTGCTGAGCTATAAAAAAACCGACATTCATAAGCAACTCAATTTACAGTGTTTATACTGCAAAAGGCGGTTTCCTTTGATGTTTACAATAATCGTGGTAGAATTAAGGATATACGAGGGGTTATCAAAAAGTTCATGGACTGGACTATAAAATTAATACCATGCTGTCTGAGCTTACAAAATTTATAAGAAACATAAAACAACAAAAAATAAAGAAATGTTGAAAATTTTAGCTTGATACGTTCATTATTCCCCAAATTATTATAAAATAAAGACATTATATGATCACTCGGCGCCGTCGCCGCTTAGTTTCATGACGTCCGACGTCATTATTTTTCAATGTCCGCCTTTCCTACCTCTAATACTTATTTTGATGAGATTCCCTAGAGCTGAGTAATAACTTCAACCCGTCTTGTTTTATGACTTAACAATGTCATGAACAGCAGCTTTCGGTGCATATATTATTGCAAATATACACTGGGAGACATCCTCGCTTAATTGTGCCAGCATATTTTGTTTTTTGGAGTTCAATATAGCTATAAGACACATTATCAACGTCATTATTTGACGTGATAGATTTTTCAAACCTTAACTACAAATCGAAATTAACTTTGCATCCCTTTTCTCTCTGAATCTGATTTGGAAAGAAAAACAAGTAATCTGGATGCATTTTTTTCTCCATAACCAGTTAAAAATCTCCTAGGTGTATACCAGTTTTTCCAAGGGCAAAACTTTATAGAATGTTGGAAAATGAAACCCCTCCCCCCTTTTGACGTCATTTTCAAGGCAATATTTGTTTGGATACTCCATGTAAAATTTACAATAAAATGTCATAAACTTCCAAAATGAGGTAAAAATTCCATATTTATGGAACACAATAGTGTCCCAACACATACCTGAATTAACGGAATTTTTGGATGTCAATTGTCCCTATCAGTATAGTTTATCTTAGTTACACTGAGGTCGAAAAAAAACGTCGTTTTCGAGGTTATACCATTCCTGGACCTACCATTCCTCACAAAAACATTACTAATTTATTTTAAAATAAAATTTATGATTTGTGGTCTATTCCATAGATAGAAAAGATGATGATAACTAAATATTTAAAAATTCATTGATGTACCTAAAGCGGTTTTAATTTTAAGGTGCTAGTCCACGAACTTTTTGATATCCCCTCGTATAATACAAAACATGGACTACTGCTGAGAATATCTTTTATATGACAAATACGAGGGTCATTCAAAAAATACGTAGACAATGTCCTCCATCATCATATAATTCTTACAAAATTCAAGATCAGCACATTTTCATATGTAAAAACATTTATTTTGTCAGTGTGTAAAGTTTCATTCCATTTGATTATATGGAACTCGTGTTTGACAATTTTCAAAGGAACATGCTTTGTCACCACGTAGCACGGTTAACAATACTGTGACGTCAAAAACAACGTCGAGAAAGTTTCTCAAAATTACTAAGCCTTTTCATTAATACACCGTTTGTAGCTTCTTCCCAATTCATCAAAACATATCCATAGCCCTTGCCATCTAGTTCGCTAACAATTGTTTGAATATACCTTAAGGTAGATTCTCAATGTTTTCAAATCGTGAAACTTGTTTGCACAAGTTCCGCAAAAGTGAATCGCACATCACGTGACGTAACTAACTACTTGACAATATTTTTATCATTTGTTTCTTCGCAGACCGTTCAGGGTCCGATTCCAAGTCTCTAACACTCAAAAAGTAGTTATTTCAATTATTTTTAAAAAAATGCATAGCACTTTTTGTATCTATTTCCTGGTTCTGCAAGCATTTTCAGAGTTTGTTTTAAAGGCCTCCCCAATACAAGGCAAAATTTGATCGCTACCGGCTGCTCCGTGAGTCTTTTGACGTCATCGTTTTATGCTTCTTTTCATGAAGTTTATCTGCCTTTAGAAATTGATATCTTTTAAACAAAGCGATGTATTACATTGAATTTTAGCATTTGGAGAAAAAGAAGGATACTAAAGTTAAACATTTCAATTTTATTTCGTTTAAGCGCCATTTATTAGAGATATGGCTCTAGACATTATAAAGTACAGAATTAGTTAATAGCTCAATTTCGACCCTGCTCCGTGACCCCATTTTTGCTATATTAAATCTTTGATAATTTTGATAATTATCAGAATATTTTCCAATTTTTTTTGCTCAAATTATTTGAATTTGTTGTTAAAATATGTGTACTAAATTTGGTTATACATGTAATATGACGTTAAATAAAAAAATTATTACAAAAGTATACGAACTTTTTGAATGGTCCTCGTAATTACATTAATCTTGATATATGACAATAATGATTGGTCGATTGATTGTATGTTGTTTAAAATCCCTTCGAGAATTTTTCATTCCGAATATGTGATGACGCATGAAAAAGTCAGGTCAACCTATGACATAAAAGAAAAATAACTCTATTGTCTTTTCCTAAGTCGATGGTACATGTAAGCGAATTTAAGGATGGATTCTTGTCTGGTCTCTTACTACTTGAAATATTCAAAGTATATTTGCTTATACATATGTATGTCTGATATATTGAGATGTAAGAGATTTTATAAGATTATGATTATATTTCCTCATCACAATTTTGTATCCTTGAATAGAAATGGTAAACTGAGCATGCATTTGAAGCAGAAGACTATATTTTTAGCGGTATAACAGTGTATGAAAATATCTTCTTTCCTGCTTCTCAAAATTACTACAGATCAATGAGTTGAGTTATAATTTTAACACAATCAACGAGTGTAAAAAATCGAACGCAAGTTAAATTAAGTAAAAAAAAAAGACTAAATTTATGATATATACGATTTTCCAAACAAACTACAATTATGGGAGCTTTTAAAAGTTTCAATCTAACTAAAGACTTGAATTTGAAGTTCCTTATCTCCTTTCTAAATCAACGAATGACGTTCAGATCTTTCCTGATCATTTGAATTGCCCTTATTAGGAATTGTAAGTATTCAAATTGTTTTTTTTAATAAGTTGAAACCTGGTCCATATCCTTTTAAGAAAGAGACTTGCATGATAGATCATTTACTGGAACCCGCTATGAATGGATTATTATGAAGTTTTGGAATCCGCTATAGACTAGATAAATGTAATTTTAAGTCATCCTGCTTGATAGGAATATTATAAATATTCGAAACTTATATAAGATTTTCAGGTATTGCATACTTAGAAAGGGGGCTAAGTGTATAAATGAAATAGAATTTAGCACAAATGTCGACAACAGATGCTATTACAAAATAATAAACATGTCATTCTAAAGTAAAGGGACCAGTTCTAAAATTCTTTAATTTCTGTTTCGCCTTACTTAAATTGTCGAAATGAAATATTATTTAATCGTTATCCACGAGAGTTCACAATCAGTGACTAACATGGGAGTGTTAGATAAGGAAGTATCTTAAACAAGATTTCACAAAATGTGACAACCACTGGAGTTCACAAGCAGTGACATCAACGAGGGTTAAATGGTTCTGACTTACACGGAAGTTTACAAGAAGTGACTAACAAGGAAGTTCACAGATAGTGATTTATACGGGAGTTCACAGGTAATGACTTGCGAGGGTTCAAAGGTAGTGACTTACACGGGAGTTCACAGGTTGTAACCTACCTGGGAGTTCACAGGCAGTGAATAAAATGTAAATTCAGAGGTAGTGACTTTCATGTGAGTTCGCAGGTTTGAACATATTTCATTGCGCTAAATATATATAGTTGGATTGAGCACAAGTTCTAAAAACTTAAATCGCCATCTCCCTACATGAAATATCACAAAAGGTTAAATTAGAAGTGTCCAACAGTTTGTACATGCTAAATTACTAGTGACTCAAATTAACTCACTATGTAGACATGTATACTGCTACTATATTTTTTATATTAGTAATTACACAAATGAACAATCAGTTAAATCTACATTAAAGCTGAATATAAGAATGTATAATAGAGAAGAGATATAAGAGTTCATAGGTAGTGACTAACAAGGTTGTTTTTCAAGGGGTCAAAATTGGCTCTTATCATATATGCATGTAGTCCTTTATATAGGTAAATATTTACAGAGTAATTTCCGAAATCTACAAAGCGGGATGTAACATGATTCCGCTAATTCAACAATTTTTAAAATTTATCGATAAGACTTAAATATAGGTGAATTTGTCGACGTTATATCTGAAATATTTCAATATACATATCTTATCGGTGGTGGTCCTGTCATAAACCTAGACGTTAGTTGTGCACGTTAGTACATATTCTTTGAACCAAAAATTGATATAATGACTTTACAAGAAGACAATACAAATTTGAGGAAAAAAACTGTAAGTATTGTAAATTATCATCAAGATGAAATATTAAGTTTCTTTTATAGAATGCATGTATATTGTATGAGCAGAAATATTCCAGGTACAAAAAATCACTATGGTAAATCAAATAAAGAATGAAATATCAAAAAAGGAAGAATTGATTGATTGATTGATTGATTGATTGATTGATTGATTGATTGATTGATTGATTGATTGATTGATTGATTGATTGTTGTTGTTTTACGTCCCATTTGAGAATTTTTCACTCTTGTAGAGACGTCATCATATACCGATGAAGGGCTTCAAATTTTGAATAGAAGGAATAAAAATGGGAATATCACATACACTGATAGTTCTCAAAAAATTTCAATATTACAAATTTGTTAACAGGTCACAAATAATGGCCTCTTAAAATTCTAGAAGTAAGATTAGGTACCAAGGCAACTTTAGCATTCCTTGTTAACCGGTCACACGTCATTGGGAAGTCTTCCAAAAATATTTGAAGTCTATTCCCAGTTTATTGTAGTGTTATCTTTAAGTTAATATTCAACCCTTAATTCTCTATAATTTATGCTAAATAATTTATTTTACATATTTTCATACAATAAAAATCAATACACTTGCTTATTTAAATCCCTTTTTTCAAATTCAAAAATAAATACCATCCACTTGAAACTGCAATTTTTAAATATATTGGACTCCAATGCATACTGTATTGCATTTGTTTACCGGGTTTTTTTTTCGTCAACAGATATGATAAACGCAAAAAATCTACATTGGCATAATAAAAACAATAAATTTAAATAACTGTTTATATATTTTTTAAAGAAAATTTTGCCATCGAAATTTTTATCGTGTTACAGATAATTAATGACTCCGTCTGGGGACCAGTAGAACTGTCTGAGACATCATGGAAGATCATAAACACACCTGAATTTCAACGACTTAGGTTTATCAAGCAGTTAGGGGGATGTTATTTTGTGTATCCTGGTGCATGCCATAACAGATTTGAACATTCTATAGGGTATTTTTTAAATGTGAAATACTTATGCCTTACTATGATACAAAATTTAAGAATAGGGACAGCTGTACTGAGGAAGAGTTGACAGTGGCTTGTTCTCATTTTTTTCAATTTATTTATATTTTTTTATTTTATTCTTTATTCATTTGTTGTTTTTTTTGGGGGGTGGGGGTTGTAAAATTTATTTTTAGATTTGTGCTCACAAGCTTTTTTTTAAAAGGCAAGTCGTTTGTTTCATGTACGGTAATTGAGAATGTAGGTTGAAATTGTCTGTCTCAGTACATAGTCTGGAGAATGCACCTAAGGACAATATAGCATTTCGAAAAATTACATATATTTGATTAATATGAAAAGTCATTTTTTTTATTTATACAGTTTTATTATTGAAACACATTAATTGTTTTCTTATTAGAACTGCACACTTAGCAAGAACTCTTGGTATCGAGTTACAGAACAATCAGCCAGAACTTGGCATAAATGATGAAGACATAAAATGTTTAGAGGTTGCTGGACTTTGTCATGATCTAGGTTTGTACTCATGTATATTTTGCACACATATATAGTAAAAATTTCTGTCATATTATTTTAATATGAAAATTGATAAGTAGTTGTTGCGTTTAAATATTGCTACCTTTATCTCACAGGACACGGTGCCTTTTCCCACTTGTTTGATCTGCTGTTTATCAAAAAAGCAAGACCTGGATATGGATCGGAGGTAAACGCTCGTTTAAGGACATGCATGTAGGCAAAGTACCTTATCTACTGATAGTTTTTTCAAGATATATCTAAATTAAGATAATAGTGTCAACAGATGTTCGTAGACAAAAAATCGACATGTAATACCAGGGGTTTTGAAAGATATCAATTGATTAGATAATTGGTGAAAGAAAAATATATTTCAAAAACTAAACATATACTAGATGTTTCTTTTATATAAAAAAAAAACTGCTTTAGAAGAAGTGTGCAACACCGTCTATAGAAATTAAAATATAGAATGCGGTTCCTTCAAAAATTAGCATGTTCTTATTATGTCCTTACAAACAGTGTTAATCTATAAGCCCCTTGCTGTAGACGTCTTTAATTTCACGTGTCTAAAATTTCACGGTTAGATAGAAAAATAACTTTCACGGTGGTTTTAATTTCACAGAGAATCGTTCATAAATATTCAGGTGCTATGCCTGTTTTAGATAGAAAACAAGTGAAATTAAAAACGCTGTAATGTATTCTACTTCTACAGTACTTACCTAGATTACACTAGGTCATATAAACTCTAAAATCCATTATTTTACAGTCTGTCTAAGCTTTTGATTTTTAAAAAAAAGATAATGAAATAGTAAATGATATTGATTTGCAAGTTATTTTCAGATAATATCTGGATCAAAGTAACTAGTACTATAATTTTACATTCCTTCCGTAAAATAAATACAAGCAAGACTTTAAAATCCTTGCATCCAGCATATGAAGCAATAATTAGCGATGAACTAATCACAATTTTGATATTTATTTACAGTGTGCCGAAATTAATACCAAAGGGAGGAAAATGTTAATCGTGCATGAGAAATTACTCTATGTCTCAATATTTTTCCTTTTTTCTGAAAATCTTGCAAAAAGACTATACATGCTTAAAATTAGTTGTTTGCCCTGAAAAATCCAAAATCGGTTATCACCACAAATAATAAACAGCATTCTACACCAAAGAAAATGACTAAATTTATCACAATATACAGAGTGGATTGTACATGTACCTTTGGAACCTTTTTGTAATCTATTACACATTTAATACTTAGCTACAGACTTCACAAAGTCTCCACCTCTAATCGAAATTGATATATCCCTACTAAACAGTCCCTATATAATTTCATACTTTAAACATTCCAGCAGTTCGACGGTTTCCCCCGACTATCGGTCCAGGAACTGTTTAAACTGAATGTTAAAAAGACTGTTGCGAAGTCAAATAGTCAACTTGTTGGACCGGAGTGCAAACTGTCGCCCAAGACCGTAAGCTTGAACTCCGGTCCAACAGATCGACTGTTTCCCTCTACCCCAGTCAATAGCTGTATATTGTAAAGTACTCTGATGTGGCTAATTTTATTATAACTTTTAAGCTAGTGTAATTCAATGGCAAGGTTTGGACTAATCGTTGGTTAACAAATTAATGATACTCAATGTGGCTATTAATCATCATTATATACTTTTTAAGAATACTTCTTTTAACTTCTAGAAATGTTTCTGGGATCTAATTCTATGAAAATCAAGATCGATGCTATATGATTCTTTTACCTGTTTGATTTTGTATTTTATATACAACCACTTTTAACATATCCGTAATTTGTCGTTGTCAAATAAAGATATTTTTGTATATTGAATCTAGTTGTTTCTTTTCATTTTTATTTTTTTCAGAGAAAAAAAGTGTATATCTATTTTATTTTATAGCATGAAGACGCATCTCTGAAAATGCTAGACAGAATTTTCAAAATTTTCAATTTAAAAGAATTAAGCGAAAATAGCAGAACTTTTATCAAAGAACTTATTAAGGTAGGTTTGTTGCCAGAATCTTTATTTAAAAAATACTCAAAAAACTTTTTTTGTTCTTTGTAACTGTAACAAAAAATTACTTTTAAAATCGGTTTTAATTTGATTTCTGATATCGATTTATACTTTTTTTTAAATTTCAAACATTACCTTTTTATTCTTTTGATTTAACAGAAACCAGAAGGTCCATATAAAGGAAGATCTAAAGAAAAGCACTTCCTCTACGAGGTAAAAAAAAACTTTAAATTATCATAATTTTAATGTAAATTAATATTCTGAATGGAGAAAAAAAGAAACACACATAGATGAAATATTTTTGAGTAAGTGGCTGAACATTATGAAAATTTATAAAAATGTGTATCTTTATAACCGTGCGTAAAAATCAGAGTTTAAATTTATCCAACTGTGAAATGTATAACCTCACGTAGGAGAATTGTTTTTAAAACATTGCTGTGACGTCAAGCCTTTGTTCTTGCAGTCGAAAAATTTACCTGTAGCCGTCCGATAATAATAATTACCAGTCTGATAATATATTATCGGACGGCAATGATAACAAAATCGGACGGTATTTAAAAAGCAAAAAGAAGAGTGAAATTAAGATTAAATATGTCTAGAAACCCCCAATAAAAATGTTTGGAAAAAAATTAGGGAAACCAAACGCAAGGAAATTAAGTTGATCACAGTACAAAATAGCAAATCGATGAGAAAAATTCCAAGTTTAAACCTTCCACGACATTAATTTTCATCTTTAAAAGAGTTTTTTGATTCAGCACTTTGAATAAGCGAATTTAAATCCATTTCTGAAAAAAAAAAGATTCTGCAATCTCCTTTTATGTTTGTTCCCCGATGGCAACACTTTCAAAACCTGAGAATGTCCATTATCTTAGCTAAAAATTCAGCTAGGGTAAAAATCCGCATTTTACTTGCCACGGTGATGGTTAAAATATTGCCCAAAATTATGTCAGTATCAATGTCAATTTATGCACATCATAAATAAAAATGTTCCCTCAAAAAATCTTTCACCCCCGTACCCCTGTCCTGCTAAACGAAACGACTGCCATTGAATGAATGAAATTAATGAAACAAGAGTTCACTCACTTTTTTTACCGTTCACTCATTTCTTTTATCTACTTATTAGACGGGTAGAAAACAATGGATGCTTGAACTCCCATTGTGTTATTATCGGACTCCTCCAGGTAACTTTTGGACATTTAAATGGCAATGTTTTAAGTAAGATATATGCCTCATACTATTCTATATGTAAAATTATCAGACAGTTTTCGGCCCTAACGGGCCTCAAACAGTCTGATAATTTTACATATAGAACAGTATTCGGCATATATCCATTACTTAAAGAGCAAAAACACGTGCATATTTATGATGTCAGGTTGTCTTTTATAGAACTTATAGTACTTCACTTCGTTTTTCCCATATATACAGTCCATGTTATCATAGCACGGTTCATGGAAATTTCCATTGGATCTAGAGATTTTTTATATTACGTTTCCTCAAAGAATACATTTTATCTTGTTAAAGAAGAAAAGGAATGGTTTTCATCCTACCGTGACGGTGACGTTATCGCGTAGCAAAGTCATAGAGAAAATGTTTTTGTTTTTTTCATCTTGCAACCTGTTTAATCGTCACGGCATTGCCACTGAAACTGATTCTTTTACAGTAAACAATTATTGCCTAAGCATTACAATCACTCTAAAGCTGAAAGAAATCCATCGTTCTATTGTTGTTCGTGATCTTGTCAACTTTACTTCTATGGTATTTTCACTGTGCATCGTAAACCTAGTTTTTCAGCTTATCCCACCAGAAAAATGTCTTCAGAGTTTAAAAGGACCTTCTTGTACCAAATCAACCACTAGCTCCCGACGTTACTTATTTTTCTTATATTGAAAAATACCCCATATCTAATAATACACCGTATTATAAGGTATGGGGTTCATTTTATATCAGAAAAATAGGTAACGTGAGGTTTGCATGCCTGTTAATTAAATAATCTTACGTTCGTAATATGAATTCCAAGTTTTTGTCTCCAATCGAAAGCTATATTGGACTAATTGGACGCTAAAGTTTGAAGGCGTTGATCTCGAGCAACAAAGTACTGCCCTGTCGAAAACGTTGAATTAATATCCTTATAAGAAAGATAATTGCACAAATGTTATTTCAATAGGTAGTTGCAAATGACGTGAACAAAATAGATGTTGACAAATGGGATTATTTCTCACGTGATTGTCACATGCTCGGATTACATCATAATTTTCAATGTCAGCGAAGCATAAAGATTGCCAGAGTTATAGAACATGATGGAGAGAGGCATATTAGCTACCCAAAATCGGCAAGTAGATAAAAGACTGCACTGTAAAAAATGTGTTTAGATGATAGACACTTTCCTAAGCACATTCTTGTCACACTTTTTTTGATGCATTGAAATTCTAAACACATTGAATTTCATTACGTGTAACGGAAAGTGTTTAGAGCCTAAACACTTACATGTTTAGACTTTAAACACTTTACAAAACAGATTATGATACATGTTTACAAATTAAACACTTGGATGTTTTCATTGTCTTCCTGCAAGAAAACTGAAAATATAACAATTGTTTACATTTTAAATTTTATTCAATGAACATTCAAACATTGATTTATTATAAAGAATTTTAAATTAAATATACATATATGTTTAAATATATATTTTTACACGCTGGTTTTAATTTTAATCAGCTTAGCAAGTAGTTATTCCTCATGTCTGTATCAAGTTTAACTTCCAGCAATTATTTCACTGAGCAATAATTTGTTTTCATCCGTGACCGTCAGTAAGCAATCCACTTCCATACTTTAAGAATGTTTTCGGGATGCTCAAAACTATAACGAGCAGCAGACTTCACAAAATACAGTTTCCTCTAGAAAGTAAGAAGTGCTGAAAAATGTAAGAACTATGGCATGTCATTGTGGACTTGGAGAAGGCAGCAGTTCCTCTGATACGTGTATTTTTGCTTTTAAGTTGCATGTGGACCATATCCTGTAAGAAAGAAATTCAAATTTTATTAAAATATGCCCCGCGCTGGCTGGAGTTGTATGAAATTTTTCACGTTCGATAGCTATTATTTTGCTATTTTTATTGAACCTCACTTAACCACTATATAGTACTGATACCGATATAGAGACTATTTATGACATTCTATAAATTGTACTCCTTTCTAGATTTCAGGAATGCAAAATATAACCGAAGGGAATCTTGATCTACAACTTCATGTACATGTGTAACTGTATATCTGTTTACGTAACCCATCGTGGTCAATTTATGTAAAATAAAAATAATAGTTAACATACCTTTTATCGTAGTAATGTTGCATTTTAAATGCATTTCACAATCTCTTCATGATTGTCACTTTGATTAGCATTCACTTCCTTTAATCCATCTTCTTTAGCTTACATTGGAATTTTCTTTGTTTCGATAACCGCTCTATTTATCATTCGAATTTATATGCAAGATAACTCTGCACTTCACAGAAAAGTGTTCAATTTCTAAACACTTATATCTAAACATGTGTTAAATCTAACATCATTTAGATATAACACACGTTTAGACCTAAGTGTTTAGCCGTTAAACACAATCTTATACATGTTTAGGTCAAAACACGTAACGGAAGTGTTTATTTTCTAAGCGCATTTTTTACTGTGTGTGTGATTTATTTCAGCATTACAGGTTTTTAATCCTCTCCAAATAAATGAAAATAAGCTGAAGCATATTTTACAGTATATAAACTAGGCTGATCAAAAGTAAACTTTTAGCATATACACTGAACTAAAATTCTAAGTGTTCACAACGGTTATAGTAGCCTAGTGATTGAGCGTTCGCTTCGTGATCGGGAGGCCTGGGTTTGACATTCCTTATAAAAATCCCATATGTGTTCGATGGGCTTCAGATCCGGGGATTTGGCAGTGAATCATCCCAAATATGCCTTTGCAATATCCTTAGGCGTTTAACACGTAAGTGCACCGCTTGAAGGATGATTCAGACTGTTTGAGATGATATTAGACTACCAACAGCACCGATTTCTATCATTTTCATACGATTGAAATTGTTTGTTTTCATGTTTCTTGAATTGTTTCAGGACAATTTAACCCTCTTTTAACCTGATGTAAAGCAAAACTTTGGCCTCAGACAAAGATTCAGATTACTTTCGGTTTGATTAAATTTTGTCCAAAGCTTTCAAATTGTGATAAATTGGCGATGAAAATGGCGTACAACCTATAGAAAGTGTGTTTAAATGGGTTTTGATTCTGGTTTATAATTTTTAAAAAGTAATATCAAGGAATACAAAATTTAAGCTAAAAGTGAGTAAAACTTGGTGCAAGGATGATGCAGATATCAACATTCCAACGACTCTCCCTTCTTTCTGAATGGTCATTTTGCCAGTGTTTTTATTATTGTGTGTGTGTGTGTGTGAAATCAGTTTTTAAAATTTGATAATAATAGCAGAAAGATGCTAATTACTCAAAATTGGTTTTCATCGGTTATATCCGACTTTCATTCACCGATTGTTGAGAAGACTTATTTATTGTAATAATCTGAAAATATCACACAATTCTGTAATATAGTATTTAAACAAATGCATTTATTAGAGTGAACACTAAGAAGTTTTGTTAAGTGTAAATTGTTATCTAAAGTGACAATGTGTTAGGACATCGATATCGCTAACAGAATGGCTTTTTTTAAACTTTTTTCCCAACAAATTTGTGTTATATAAAATAAAACATTTGCAAATGCAAATATTTACTGTTGGATAAACCATGTTTTGCACTCGCAATAAATTGTTGTCCTTGCTGAGAATACTAAAAATTTGAAAACATAGAATGAGATTAAACTATGGTTAAAACATCTTATAAATTAATTTCAACTACATTTGTTGCTTCGTATGCTACAAATCCACTTTCATAACCTTAGATTTTTAACGGCAAAGTATTGATTTAATTATCTCATTTAATTTAATTGAAAATTGTTTTGATTGAAAATTGAGAGTTTATTAAAATCTTTCTTTGATCTAACTTGGTTTAAAAGTGTAACTTATGTATCACTTTATGCGTACAATATTTCAGGAATATTTGAACATATTTGATATGTTTTCTACACGGTATACCCTGCATCGTCAGGCCTACCAGCACCCAGCTAAAGAGCTGTTCAAACAATGTAAGAAATTTTAAGCATATCTTACAAGAAAAGGAGCATCCATATCGCTTAAAGAATTAAATCCAATCAAAAATATTATTAACGATGTAATAACGCATAATGAATAATATATGAATAAATTTAGATGAAACTGGAAGTGTACTTAAAGAAGTACATAACGCAGTTTGTCCATATATATTCTGTATTTGTTTAGAATATCAAACATTTTATGTACTTCTACATATATTTCTCTATTTGCTGGTCATGCAAAGTATAAAGTTAGCGTAAATAAGCGTTTTTGCTTATCATTGTCATTTACAATCAGTGTATAACAATATTCTAGAACTGTTTTAATTATCTCTAATTTAAGTTTTAAATATGTTGAATTCTTCATGAAAATGCATGTAAATTAAACAATTTTGCACAGATTCTTATTCATATTTTTTCAGCCTCAGAAAGTAAATAATGAAGCCGAAAAGAAACCTCTCCTTTCATGTGATTTATGCCATTATGTGATTTAACCCATTAGATTTAAATTTATAAGTCGAGTTGTTTTAATTTTTAAAATTATTTTCTATAGTATTCTAATTTGTCTTATAACAGGATTTCAGACGCCTTTTACAAAGCTGACAATTATCTTACATTTCCACCAAACACGCCTAAGGAAAAGGGGTAATTAATTAAGTAATTGTTTTCGAAAGCAATGTCCTTTCTGAAATTGATACATTTTTACTATAGTTTTATATCAAGTCTGAAAGTATAGTAATAGAATTATTTCTTTAGAGGAAAGACTTTATCGGAGTCAGTCGATGACATGGATGCGTACCTATGGGTGACGGATGACGTTTTTCATACGATAAGGACGCTACCGGAAGATAGTGAAAATATCAAACAGGCTAAAAAAATTCTAGATAGAATACTGAGTCGGGATTTCTACAAAATAATTGGAGAGAAAAAGGTTCAATTAAAGGATGAAATCCAAAAGGTATGTTTAAAAGAGAATTCTAAATACTCGTATGGCAAAAAGGGAAATAAGGTGCATTATAAAAGAATTATAATGAAAACTCTTATCTAATAAATGTAATACCCCAGCCTTCAGCGAAGAGGATGGATGATAAATATTTGGTTTACATATTAGGGAATACAGTAAACTCCTCTAATTGGAACACTGGTTTCAAAGAAATAAGCCGAATTAAAGAACAATTTAGAACAGACAACATGTCCAAACAATTGAATAATCGCACTGATATTTAGAAAATGGCATTGCGAGATTTCAGATTAGACAATATATACTGTTTATGATCTATCATTTTAAAAAAAATCTAGAATGGTAAAAAAGGACGGATTTTTTAAAATTTATATTTCCAAGAACTCCTAGACATTGTCATTTATATTGTTATAACAAACTCTTACATACGACTTGAAATTCTGTTGGAATATTGATTTTAAAGAGATTATTACGGTACATGTAATAATCCAGCTCCCACCCATCCATCTTCGCTAGCCAAGGGTGTCTGATACGCTACTCGAGGAGAGTAGCGTATCATTAAACCCTTGGCTAGCGAAGATGCCACCCATCTAAAAGATTTCAAATACAATGGAAATTTATACAGTACATGTACATTTAAAAGACTGAAAATTGATTTTAAAAAGTCTTTGATTGATATAATTCATGCAATATGTTTAACTGTTTGATTGGCCGAAATTTACACTTTTAGTCTCCACATTATGATACATTTATTTAAACTTTTGAGCTCAATTATATGATTCAGTTATCAATGAATTGAAATAGTATTGCTTCTTTTTTTAAGGGTATTTGGTTTCATCTTATTTTGTCTACTATATCAAAGGAGTTCGCGTACCTATCAATTTTGCTGAAATTTTCGATAAATAAAAAAGATACGTAATACCTATAATAATAACACAAGGAGTGCAGCCGTTGTCACGCCATGACGTGACGTCACGGGCGGTATTACCCAAAAGGAACAAAAAAAAACAATCATACACAATTAACTAGAGATAACGATATTACGTTTAGATACGAGTACAAGTACGTTTTAAATTTTCTTGAATGTCTACTAACTTGTCTCTGGTTTCTTTTCGCATATGACCTGATCAATCATCTAGATTAGCATTTCAGGCAGTTTTGTTCCTTTTTGGGTAAATGTACATCAACTATGGCGTCGGAATTTGAGCGAAGTTGTGGAGAAATGTCACCGCTCCTGCTGTAAAACATGCGTTTGAAATCATATGCATTAAGAGCCATAAAGAATGGTCCTTTCCAAAAAAGATTCGTTTGTGTTTTATGATTTTCGATTGAAGATTAATTGTGCGACAGCCTTGATATGAAGCGAGGGGTTCCCAGGTGACCTAAAATGCGTTGCACTCCTTTGTGTTATTATTATACGTATTACGTATTTTTTTATTTAATGAAAATTTCGGTATAATTGATAGGTACGCGAACTCCTGTGACTATATTATAATGCACTCAAAAGCAGAAATACAATAATAATCATGATAATGTCTGTTTCTTTTAGGATAAGAATTTCATACCAGAAGTAAAACTATGGATGGAAGGGAAAATAAAAAATAATTTAGATCCAACTGAAGAGGAGCTCGAGTTATTTGAAATCCAGGTAATAAATTGTGTATGTAATTTAGTTTAAACGATTTTGAAAATTCAATCAATATTTTATTCCTTTAAAGGAGAAAAATCTGGATGAAGAATAATTTTCTTTAATTGCCTCTCTTCAAGCAGTAAATAGTTGCTCTTCCAAAGAGTTAATCCAAAACTATCATATTGAATTGAAAATCTGTAAAGCTTAAGTATTAATTCTTTCAACTTTCATTATATATCAGGATTTAACTTTTAACTACGGAAATAAAGACAAAAATCCAATGGATAAGGTGTACTTTTTCCACTGGACAAAGGGGGCTGTGAAAGTCAAAGAAAATGAAGTAAGTTTAATTTCATAAAATATTAGATAACAAACTTATTGAACAATTTTACAGAAAAAAATTCTCATATGTTTATGTGAAATAAATTTCATGGAAAGAGTTTTTGAAAACCCATTCAAGTGCTTTGTTGTTATTTTATTTACATTGGGGTTTAGAGCTTAATTTTTAATAAGGTCATCATGTCATAAATTACCGTGCAACTTTAAAACTATGTTTGTACAAGGATAAACTTGCTTTTAATTGACTTTTTACATATCATAACACATAACCCTGGGGGAGGCAGGGATCGTTATGGATAAAAATTTTCTTACTAAGGTATTTCCACTGATGATTGCATGTCATAAATTCAGGTACCTGTAAAGTGTGAAACTTTCACAAAAGAAACGAAATTTACAAAAACTATCAAAATGCTTTTCAAATCAAGGTACATGTATATAATTATATATGTGTAACTGCATGAGGACTTTTTCTACTTCAAATAAAATATGTATAGTTCAAGCACTTGTTAATATAAAATTTAAAAGGGCATGGACACAGTTTCCACTGAATTTTTAACACCAATGTTTACTAATGTTTACTATTCCTACCCTAGGCCTCATCTAATGATTAGCAAAAACTTGAACATCATTTGTTGATTAACAAACGAGATACAGAACTTAAAGTTCTTCATAATGTAAATAAGGCTCGTGCCTTGTATTTGTTTACATATAGAAAATATCATATTTATGCCAAAATGAAAGTCAGCAAATCAAAAGAAACTGTTGAATCGCATCTAAATTAACTTTTTTATTGAAATTATCTACTTTGAACGAACATATGTTAGTATATTAACCCATGTAAACAAAAACATGACACAGACCTTGTTTACATAACAAAGGCTTGTAGCTATAAATCTGTCTTGTATCTCGACATCTGACGTTCAAATTTTTGATTATTATTAGAAAGACCCTAATTAGATATTTGTAAAAGTGGAAAAATAAAATTTGAAAATTTAATTGAAACTCTGTCTATGCTCCTTTAAATACCGATATATTATGCTCCCTTCTCTCATGATGTATTTACATGTATTAACTGCTACCAGCTGCAAATATGCACAGGCATACTACATGTATGCATGTATAATTTTAATATGTGCAGTATTTTCTAATTTTTATGTCTTACTCTTAATTTCAGCCCTTATTTACAACATATCTATCAAAATTGATGTTGTACATGTAAAGGCTCGTTTATGTACGGGTCAAAATAAAGTTAATGTACTGTTGTATTGCGAATGTCTTTCAACATAGGATAAACAAGGGCTATTTTGCAAAGATATATTATATAGCCATTGAAATTTTGGGGTTACCTTTTCTGTTGGTTAAGCCCCACCCCCCAATTTCAATTAACCTCCTATTTAAATTTGCTTCCGATGCCTTATGAGCTTTAATCGAAACAATTGCCAGTGTTAACATGTGCTTGAACTATATGAATTTTATGTGAAGTAAAGATAGAACATATACAGTTACACTTTATATATAACTATATGTACATGTATATACCTTGATTTGAAAAAACTTTCTGAAAGTTTTGTTTTATTTTGGCGGGTTTCGTTTTGATTTCGTTTCGTTTCGGTAAATTTCGTTTCGTTTCGATAGATTTCGTTTCGTTTCAGTTCGTTTCGTTTCTATTTAGTTTCGCACTTTACAGGTACCCATTTATATCAAGGAATCTTGAGGTTAAGCAGATTTAGAATTGATCAAATATTGGCTCCGGGCTAAAGGTAGTGCCGCAATATAGAAGTATAAGTAAAATTTGTCAAAATCTTCTCAAAAACAGCCACGAGCCTCATTTGGTGAGCTTATCATATAAGTTACAATTTGCTGTTTTTGTCCGCCGCCACTTTTTTTCTCGGCTATAGCATTAAGAGTAGTATGATAACAATTACATAAACAAAGTCTTAATCAAACTGGAAAACTTAAAGCACGGGAATGCAAAACAAATCTTGGTCAAAAGTGCTTGGAAAACATGTGATATTTGAGTGATTGTCAAGGCCCAAGGTCTATTGATATATTTGATCATGATATATTTATTGATTTGACGACATTTGGTTTATACATGAAGCAAGGATTTTTCATTAAAAAGTCACGTCATTGAACTTCCCTGAATTGGTTCTTCTGTTTTTAAGTTTTTGCGATTGCTTATATATCAATATTTTATTTATAATTTTTTTTTAATCAAAACAAAGTTTAAGAATTCATGTTAAGGTACCTGCTGTAGAATCAGCTTACAAATATTGTCAACACATTATGCTTAACAGAAAAAAAATAGTTTACAAGGCTTTTGAATAAACGACCTTTTTTTAATTTTATATAAAAAGTATCGATTTTAAGAACAATCTTGAGAGATTGCTTTTTTCCTTTACATAGGTTTCTTTGATGATGCCGTCAACTTTTGAACAGATTTATCTACAACTTGTCTGGAAAGGCTCAAGAGGTCAACATCCCGAGCTAAAAATGAAAATCCTCAAAACTTTTGAGGGTATAAAAGGTAATGACATATCATCAACAATTTTTACCTTTGAATTGACAACTGTTTTCATACCACATTCATATAAATCAGCAAAGATGATGATCCTGATCAAAAACAAACGCGAAGTTGTAAAATAAGTCTATATATTCAAAAGAAATTTTATCTGATGACCATGCACATTAAAATATAACCTAAACATCAAAGGTCCATTCTAAGGAAAACATTATTCGTTATTGTTTTTTTATGATTGCAATATAGTATAATTAAAAAATGCCGCTATAAATCATCTTTAACCATTTGTTTACACATATCTTCTTGTAGAATATCCAGAAGAGAATCCCTTTATTGAGCTGATCGACACAAAAGAATCTGGATAAGACATCAGAAATCAGATTATTTCTACAATAAACAAGCTCACACTTAATGAATTTAAGTCATTGTCACTTACTTCTTTATTGATATTCATTTTATATAATTTAATAATATTAATGTCCCCTAGTTTGTATAACCTTGACAAGGTGACTGGGCACGTTTCTTTTTCCTCAGGATAGACGGAATAAAATTACCTGTATTAGAATGAATAATGTTATTTATTTCGTAAATAACTTATGATATAGAAAACAAGGGATTCATACACTCATCATATAGTAATACTACATGTGGTGCTGAACACTATCATGACCCCCTATATTACTACATATGAAATAAATACTTGTATATACACAAAACGACAGATAGGGGCATTTAAATGACTTAAAAGATTATGCAACATCACGTTCATTGTGAGAAGAAATGTAATATTTATTAGAATTTTTAAAAGTATTCCTTGTACCACCAATAATTAAAATTTGTATTATTCTTCAATTACGTGATAAGCAAAGAAAAGGAGAGATACAGGGCAAATTCTAGAAATACACATTTCAAAGAAGATGTACGTAGCCATTTGTACTATTTACATTAAAAATTAATTTGTTAACTGCAAAATATTTTCTTTGGCCATACACGTTAGCATTTATTTGTAACTTAAATAACAAGTTAACATCAATAAAACTGGATTTGCCTGGAAATAATTCTCCATTGTATCTCATTTACAAACTATAAACGTACAAATAATTGATTGATATCTATGGAATAATGTATTTAATTTTGCACACTTTTCCAGGTAAAGACTTGATATTCCTTGTTTTGTCTTTGATAAGCAAAACTATCAACCTGTAAAAAAAACTATTGAGTATAAAAAGGTATTACATATAAAAAAAAAACCACATCACTTTAAGTCTACATTTTCTCTTCTCTGGTTCGGTTAATATGTACCAAAGGCAAAACTGCAATCTCTGTCATTTTGACATGTTGATAAGCCAAGCAAGTTTACTTGCATGTTCCCTATATTGTATACAACGAAGGTATTTACACAAATCAAAAGACCATTTGCAACCCTGATAACCTGAATAAAGAAGTTCGATGTAGAACTTAGATATATGGATATATGGAAGGGATATCATCAACTCCTTGAGAAGACTTTGTGCAAATCATTCGAAAATTAATCTTTTAAAATCTATGTAAAAATTTCTCTAAATTTATTTTAAAATAATAAAGTAATATTTTTGAGTTTTGCGATTTTTATCATTGGGAAATATGATATTGGAATGGATGTACGTAGCCTTTTTTCTGACAGTTCTCTTCAACGAAGGTATGTATTTTGAAAGTTGGAAGCAGTTCTAATTGCTATACAATTTTTAATTTTCTCCAGTTTTAACTTATATTTACTTGTTTGTTTAAATCTTACGAAATTATGTTTATTTTCATTTCATGGTCTTGATCAGTTTTAACTTATATTTTCTTGTTTGTTTACACTTTAAGAAATTATGTTTATTTTCATTTCATGGTCTGTTGATCTTATATTATTGTGTTTTGCATGAATTACTTTTACAAAATAATATCAAAGTATTAATATCAAATATTTATGAACTGTCTATTGAGATTAATACATAACCTTTCTTATGAATGTTTTTTCCCTCTTTGTAAAGTTTGCAAGCATGAAAGTCATGTAACTTCAGCAATTCAATTACATATGATTATGCATGAATTATTTCTATAAACTCGAAAAATATGTTTTAATTATATAGCTATCCAATATTTTACTTAAGCATTTTTCATTAAAAACCACTTTAAAAACCCACAAAGTGGAATATTGTCCTGCTGCAAGAATTCAAAGAAAAAATCAACAATAAAATTAATGTCAATAACATATTGGGATGAGATAAATATATGAATTAGAATGTATTAAAAGCCACGATCAAGAATGATGGATTGCAAAGTAATTCATTATTAAAATGGCTATGTCGTTAAAGAAACAAAAGAGGATGCTTAATTTCTACAGGTAAATGTTTATCATCCAATCTTGACGACCTACAAAAAGAGTACGGGGAATGGCGTCTACAGAAATCGCCCGGGTATCCTACCTCCATAGGCATATACAAATACAACGACCAAGTGGAACGGTTTACATACTCTGGATTTAAAAAAGAATACGTATGTGTCTATTATCATCACCTTTATAGTGTAGTGTATGTGTATAGTTGTAGAGATAAAATTAAGGTCTTGCATTTTGCAAATGTTTTAGTTTATAAAAATGTTAAAGTCAAATAAATTTCATTTAAAATTGTGTTTCTTTACACAACGCATGGATCTTTTTTCTTTTTTTCAGGAAAGATACCAGAGCCTTCACAATCGTTTGAAGTCGATAACATACAACCAACTTTCACCGAAAGAAAAGACTGATTATGATATATTCAACGACACATTGTCGACGCTTATCAGAGGATACAGATGGAAAGAGTATGCAAAATCTCGAACATGTAGAACTAAGTTTCTTTTTTTCTGTTAAGAAAGTTCTACTCACCAATTCTGCTTCACAACTGATTTCTTTTTTAAAAATATAATGACAAACGGACTTCGCAGTTATAAGTAGGCTAGTGGTCTGGTTAATTGCTACGTTCCAGGCGTTCTGTGTTCGATTCTCGCTCCCGGTACCTTGTCAAAAAAAATGAATATCTGTTTCCTTTCCAAGTGATCAGCATTATAAGTAAAGACAACAGTCTTTCGAATTAATTAATATTGGTCCTATCTTGCGTTAGGCTATAACAAATTTGAATGGTTATGTCGATAAGTTCCATGCATTAGTAACAAGTTGTTCTATTTGGAAAAGGACGGTTATAACACTTCATGTACATAAGTGAAACAGACATAAATTAAATCAACATGCAATTAATGTAACAATTATAAGCATTTTACAGAGAGACTTTTTCTTGATTTCCTACTCTGTAAATTTTTTTTATAAAAGCGTGACAAATCTGCAACTTCCCTGAATGTTGAACATATAAAGTAAAAAAAAGATAAATATGAAAAAAAATATTGATACTAAGCATTTTTCTGCCAGTTGATTTCATATAAAAAAAACACATTTCTCACTATGGAAATAAAAAAAAAACTTTGGTCTACGGAGGATGTTCCATGAACTCAAAATGTTATATAGAAATTACTTGATTTAGCAATCAAATAATTTGGTCATCATCTGTTACCTCACTAAACGACAAAGACATTGTTTTTTAAACAATATATTTTCAAGTTTCAGAAAAATGTACTCTTGGTCAATATAAGTAATTATGAAATTAAGATTTAGTGCAAAATGTGCAAGATGCAACAGTTGTTCTTTTCTCTCAATTCATAAGAAGCAAAGGAATTAAAGAGATTTCGTTAACTTTTGAAATTGTTTGCCTCATCTTCAATCAATATTACCATATCATAAAACACTTTTACTAAATATTTGACTGCTAGACATCATTCATAATATTAGGATCTCGAGAAATAGTAAGCTAAAATGTTTTTTTTTTAAACTACACAGTCAAGAGGGTTATAATGGAACAGGAACATATGGTAAGAAATACAAGTCGTCAAAGTCACTCAAAAAATCTTTTCACCCTTGGAATCAACATGGTGGCTCAATCAGTAGAGCGCTCTCTCCGTGATCGGAAGGGCGTGAGTTCGAATCTGGACCGATACTGAACTTAGTCGGTTAAAAAAAACGGTACAGCAACTCTAGCTATGCCATACGCTCGACACTTTGAAGTGAAAGTTACGGGTACTTCGGATGAGACCTTGTAACTGCAGACGCTAAAACGATAAAGATCCCTCATTCATCAACGGTCATGAGTGCCGACTAAAAGTCAAAATTTGAAGCTTTTCATTGTTACGTGTATATGTTAACGTCTCTATTTGAGTGAAAAATTCTTAAATGGGGCGCAAAACAACATCAATCAATCAGTCATTTAATTCTTTGAAAAAAGGGGAAAAAAATTAATGGAATTTTAAAAATTAATTTTTGATTTATTTAAAATTTATTAAAAATTCATGACAATTAATTTAAATATTCGTTTGAAGCTACAATGACCTCAATCCGATTAATTTCCTGGAAGGACCACAGATTGACCCATCTTACCTTCCGAGCGTTACACCATTCGACACAGTGGGCGACTATGAAAACTACGTCAGGCGCTTAGAGCTGTTTCCAATTCAAGTAAGATAGACTTGTTACAGATCGGTACTTCTTCCTCAAAAATTGTATTAAGGGACTCCGACCCTCAGCCAGGAAGGACAACTCTTTAATTTATAATTTAATTCAAAAAGTCTTAAAATGAAGCTTGAAAATTAAATATTTTCATGCAACAATTTTCATTATATGCCTCTCAATGTGCTTCAAGGTTCTTTGAACTTCTCAGAAAGGTCTAATTAAAAGTAGAAATTTTTATCCCGAAAAAGCATTTTTAGATACCAATGTTTATTAGCATGATATGAAATTAGAAGTGATTTATGGAGCTTTGCAAAGAACCTTGAAGCACGTTGAGAGGCATATAATGAAAATTGTTGCATGAAAATATTTAACTTTCAAGCTTCATTTAAAGACTTTTTGAATTCAATTATAAATTAAAGAGTTGTCCTTCCTGGCTGAGGGTCGGAGTCCCTTAAGAATTTAAATTCCATCAATGTTTACAAAATGAGCATCGTTCTTACATGTATTAAATAGAATATATGATAATTCTTGCAAAAATGCGTTATGCTTATCAACATCCATATTCTTTTTTTAATGATTTATGATTTTTGTTATGCAAAGGAAAGTAAATCATTGTTTCTTGTTATTCTACTTTTTTTCATACATAACCTGCTGAAGCTCTTCTTTTAGATGGAAGAAATGATAAAGTTATTTGATAAGGCTGTAGAGAAAGGTCACACGTACCACAATGTTTCTGTGGTAGGTATCCGATACATTAAAATTTATGTATACTGTAACTGAAAAGTATGTGTTTGCAATTGATGTGCCTGCAATCAGATTTAAAATGTTTAAATAGAAATTTATTTAAGATTCATTTGTTTCACGAGAATATTTGACAAAAAATAACAAGGATTAAGATATGGGTTGTTTGGGGCATATTTCTAACAAAAAAGGGAGACACATTTCGTACAATTCTTGATGTTGAAGTATAGATTTGATTGTTTCATTTGTTTTTCATTTTCATTTCAGGACAAAGTTCCAGATCAAATAGATGAGATGCTTAGTAACGGAAATGATACAAACTTTCCCTATTACAAACCATTTCAGGAAAAATTGACAAAGTTGACAACTATTGTAGAGTCTAAAAAGTAGGTTTTCCTACACAAATAGAGACCAAGCCGTTGTATTACTTTAACAATGGCTAAGTTTCTTTTTATTAATTATTATCAAATCAGATTTGAATTTGGGGGAAAATTGTACAGTATTTATATTACCGTCCTTTGGATATTTTTTCTATCTACAATGATATCCGACAATTATTGAAAAGAATTATTTAAAAAAAAATACTTTATGTATTAAATATATTGGATAATACTCGTACATCTAGATTTTTTTCCATACCTATGCAAGATCTTAAATAGTTGGTAGATAACAAGATTTCAAACAATGACTTTGTTTACCTATAAAAACTAATCTGAATGCCTTTAATAATATCTAGTATATTATTTATTTTTAATTAACTAGTGTTTGAGCAAAATGCTGATATTTCACAAGTTTATGATATCAAGCATATACTTATTTGAAAATATGTATGTTCTTAAAAACAGAACTCTCTCTACACTGCACACTAAAGAGTTCTTTTACATCTACTTAATCCATTCCACAGCTGAAATTAAGGAGATACTTTACAATTCGATTCTTAGCACAAGAAGTTAGGCATGTGTATATACCAAAAATAAAATTAATCTATCCAGTTAAAATAAAAATCAACCAAACATTACAGATCAGATATGAGAGGAAGAGCTAAGTCAGCTATTCGAAAAATCATACAAAAATACAAAGACTTAAAGACTTATTTTGAAACAGTAAGTGAAAAAAGGATATATTTTTCATTCTAATATCAAATTTCGGTAAATTTGAAACCAATTTTTTTATTCCAACTGTAAAAGTTAATAAGGATTAAATTGACATAAAGGCATTTAAAACACTTTAAGGTGTATTTCAACCACGTAAGAAGTGGTTATGGTGTAAGTAGCTGGGACAATGGAGGTGAGTTCTACAAAGAATGCCTTCGCTGGCACCTCTCTCTGGATCATACACCGGAAAAAGTCCATCACATGGGTTTACAGGAAGTGGAGAGAATTTCGGCGTCAATGAAAAAGGTAAAAAATTTTCATTAACAGATTAACAGAAATCAAAACAAAACACAATGACATTGATTACTTTATTTATTTATTTTTTTTTTTTGTAGATTATGATGAAATTAAATCATAAGGGATCTGTGAAGGAGTTTTTCGACAAGATCAAGGAGGATAGAAGTAATTATCTAAATACTGGAGTAAGATCATTTTCTTTTTTTTTTTTTCTTCCAATTTTTAATATTTTTGAAAAGTTAAACTTCAGTTTACCTTTCAATTCACAAACAGGAAGAAATCATACAGTGGTACAAGAATGCAATTGAACATGACATCAAACCAAAGTTGCCAAACTTATTTAAAGATCTACCCAATCTGCCAATAGAGTAAGCAGTTTTAAATCTACAGGTATATTTATTACAAATTAAACAGTTTGCAAAAGTGATTATCAAGTAAAAAGGGCTATAAAGTGAGAATATGAGAATCTGCTTTTAACGCAAAAGTTTAATTTGATAATATGTCATTGAATGCATTTACACTGAAGGTACATGTAACTGTGCTATTTGTCATTATACTACGATTCATTTCAATAGTGTACAGCCTAACCCAATAGATGGAATCGATGGTCAGTATTTAGCCGGACCCCCCGATGGTTCACGCCCTGGAGTGTTCCAAGTCAATGTTTTTCATCCCAATAAATCGTATGTTTGAGTTTTTGGGGCTATTTATTGAAAGAGAAGGGTGAGAGCAAACCTCATCCCACTTCTGATGTTTTGGAGGTCCGTGTTTGCTCAACTCTTGTTTTGTATTGTTTTGTGGACTTTTGATCTTGAATACTATTCGTTATCTCCACGTGTTTCGTGTTAACGAAAATATACAGTTTCATAATTACCAGTAGAAAGATTGGAAATAGAAATAGTGTCTACTGTATTCTTTGCATTATACCCTTTCAGTGTTAAAATTGACTTTATGGCTCTTCTTCTTCATGAGACTATTCCTGGTCATCACTTACAGGTAAGCAAGGATTTTTCGTTGCTAAGTATTTTTTTTTTCAATTAAAGGACAACAAGTATTTCTGAATCAATGCTAAATATGTATGTATATCTCCACTAAAGTCAAGTTATATATCTTGTAAATTAAAATAATTGAATAGAAATAATCACATATTATGGATTGTTATTTCTCAGTTGTTAACTTTATTTGCAGACCTTTATACTTTTCAATGTAATCACCGACTATTGTTTTGAAGAGCCAAAAAAACCCTGATTTATCCATTTCTGAAACGAAAATAACACATTTATGATAATACATTCACTATTCATTGTTAAATCCATTTCGTACAGAAATTAACTGTCCGTTTTCCTTACAGATCAGTGTTGCATCTACTGTCAAAATCCCTAGTTATAGAAAACAAATGAGTGGATATCTCTACACAGTTCCATTTGAAGCCCCGTTTTACACAGCATATGTAGAGGTAAATGTGTGTGATATAAACGTGTATTCATGAATATATGATGTTCCAACTTTAATATTAGTGTTCTCTTAAATGCTCATATCTTTTTTTTATTTTACAATGAAAGTTGACAAATGTGATGTTGTTGTTTTTTTTTTAAAGCATGATCTTTGTAAATCTAAAATCTATATTTTTATTTTACATTTAATTACAAATTCGGTCGATTTAAGGAATTTCAGCAATTTATTATCTTGACGAAGGCTGTTTGCAGGTTTATTATGTTTGATCTTTGAATCGATTTCTCGGTTATTTGCGACTCTTAATCATAAATTTTAAAAATAATAAAATTTATTCTGCATATATGAAAAAAAATTAGTTTGAAAAAAAAATATGTTGCAATGATCTTGACTTAAGTATTATCAAACTTAATATGATATTAACGAAATTCTGGAAATTTTGTAAATTCTAATTTTTCTACTTAGGACGTAACCATTGAAATGATGTAAGCGAAATCCATAAACCTTTAATTTTTTTATGTTTAATTATATTCCAGGGTTGGGCATTGTATGCAGAATCTTTGGGTGAAGAACTGAATCTTTACAAAACTGATAATGATCTGTAAGTAAAGGTTTTGTCAATATCAAGTAAAGTATTCTCATGTAAGTTTAGGACGTACCATTTTATGCAATAATTTCTTATATTTTTTACATAACAAAAATGAACCATTGACATTATTTCAATTATGTTTTTTTGTAGTATGGGAAGATATGGATCTGAAATATTTAGAGCATGTCGTCTTGTTGTTGATACAGGATTGCATTACATGAAGTTTGTATAATTCTTTAAATAAATATATGCAAAGGGTGAAGTTTGGAATGAAAACGTATTACATGTACTATGCCAATAGACATAAGTGTCAAAGAGAACACCGGGCAATCATGAAATCTTTTGAATTTCATTAAACATATTTAATTCTTGGTATAAATTACTTGTGCATGTATAATCTTTGAAATACTTAAAATTTCCTATGTATAGAAAATTCGGTTGAGGTGTGAATGTACATGTGCAAATGAAAGACGTGACAATTATATTACTAAGTGAACTTTTAGATTTAGTAAAACACCTCCTTATTTTGAGATTCTTGTGCTCATTATACACTAAAATATTGATAAAAGATCATAATCTAACTCACTAGGTCTAGTTTATCAATCAACAAACGCATCTATTCACAAATCTCAATCAAATCTTCATTAAACTATTATGACTCTAAATTTAACTAAACTCAATATATGGAATACATGACTTCCAGTTCTACGATGAGCAACTTCAATGGCACCACTTATGAAATACTTTAATATTGATTAATAAGGAATACATTTCATTTGTATGTAATGCTCAAAATATCTATATCACAGACTGTAAAGATCATGTAGATGTAAAGTTTTAAATAATTAACAGTGTGATATATTCGATAATGTATACTGTAGGGTAGCCCAAACGTTTTTTAGGTTAAGAAACAAATTGAATGCACCATAACTGTTTTCTCTTGTGTTTTTTCAGTTGGACAAGACAGCGTGCTATAGACTATATGCTTAATTACACAGCGTACAGTGAAAAATCTATCACGACGGAAGTGGACAGATATCTTACCTGGCCGGGTCAGGCATGCGCATATAAAATTGGCGAACTTAAAATAAGGGAACTACGTACAAGGGCCGAAAATGCATTAGGTAATTGCCTTCCCATTTTTTTTTATTTAAAACAAATTTCTTTAAAGGTGCATTGGCACAGATTTGAAGTTGATATTTCTGTATAATATCACGACTTATATATTGTGATAGCATTTCACAAGAAAATATAATATAAATCTTATTTCTTTTCAAAGTTATTGAAACTTCGAATTCTAGTCGGGTTTGATTGTCACGTCCTTGCATTTTCACAAATTATAATTTTACTCTTAATACTTAAGGTATACCTTTACTCAGATGGCTAAAGATTCCACTGATAAGAACGAAAAACCAACTATTGCACATCGTACACCTATAATTCTTGTGTTAAATTTCAATTTCAAAATAACTAGGTCAATGACCTACTTTTCATGCTAGTGGCCCCTGTGTATTTCTCGGGAAATACCTCAATTTTTCTCACTATCTCCAATTTTTCTTCACTCACAAAATATTACAAGCATCAAAACTCTTTAAATAGTGAAATATTATAGCAATGGAACAGTGTTGCTTCATACAGAGAAACGATTCGAGTTTGGGCCATCAACTTGATAATTAATACAGTCCGAATTTCCTCTGTCAAATTTATATTTTGTCCCCATTTTTAATCGAATATTTAAAAAATCTGACTGATAAGAACTCTACATTATTTATAGTCTCATATTACCTTTGTAGCCGTTATTCTCATGGATTAACATTATATGGGGTCAATGATCAAATTATTGAGATATGTTGCCTGAAATGGTTTTTGTTCATATTTTTGGATTTCTTTATTTGATAGCATTCAATTATTTGAAATAATTTTTGAGCTTTAAGACATATAAAATTTGCAAAATGATGTCTAAAAATACATGTACCCTTTACATTGGGATTAATATTGCAAGAAAAAAAAAATTTTGACAAGAATGAAAAATTAAGAATTTAGTCCGAATTTCCTCTGCATTACCATACACTGACTTTTGTTCCTGTATATTTTCTTCAAATAATAAAATATGAATTTTTTCAATTGATATTGAGTTAAAACTTCATAATTTTATCCATTTAGAACAATTTTTTGATTTAAAATATACTTTATAAAATTTCCTTTCTGTTTTCTGAAACCTGAGTAAACGTGATCCTTAATAAAAGTGGCAATGTTGTTGTATATTTATGAAAAATATTAAAACTATAATACAGAACATTCACAGTTAAAATGTTCGAAAGGAAAACGCGCACGCAGTATATTGTCAGTCCGGGCTCAGTGGTGTGTTCAGACTCTAACAATTGAACACTCCCGGTGAATCGTAAACATTAACAATAACAGAACTCGTACCCTGTTCACAAAACCAGGTTATGTTTCGTGGGTGTATTCAATTAGTTAAACTCTGTACAGAACACTGGGCACGGACTGACAATATACTGTGTGTATATATTGCTTTCGATCATTTCTACTCTGATTTTTCTGTATTATAGTTTAACATTTTTCATATACACAACAAATTAAGATTGCCACTTTTCCTTAGTATAAAAAATAAAATTACAATTTGTGAAAGTACAAGAATGTTTCAATCAAAGCCGTCCAGAAATTTGAAGTTTCAATAACTTTTAGATGAAAAAAGATATTTATTTTATTTTTGTATAAAATGTTATTGCAATATATGATTTGCAATATCATATATAAAATTTGAAAAAAAATGTTAACTTCAAATTTGTATCTATATACCCTAGAGGCATAAAAGATGTGTAGGGGGTTGAATACTTAAAAGTTTATTTAGAAACAACACCCATTCAATAATATAAGCATAAAAGATTGCAATATCTTTGAAAGTTTTTATAATATGTATTAATTTTGATAACATAATTGAAATATATCTGGTATATCTGGTAGAATCGTTTTGTTTTTACATTTTATCCCATATCACTTAATGCATATTGTCACTGCAGTATTTTATATACTAATTATTTAAGTTTTAATTGTAAAAAATCAATTGTGTTCATAAACTTGAATTCAATACTTGTGATAAATTACTGTTAAAATAAACACATCTTTTACACTTTCTCTTGTTAATCTTTTTTCTGTTGTTAACTGCTTTCAATTAACAGCAAATCATTATATACCCGGTAGTTGTATGTGAAGAACCTCCGAGGATAGAGTATAGGATGGAAGATGAAAAACCTTAATTAACATTTTAGATGTTATTATTTTCATACGTGGGTATATGTATATCTTGATGAAGAAACTAAACCAGTTTTAATTTCATAATGAATTCAAACGGACAGTTTGCTTGTGTGATTTAGTCACTGTCCTTGACATTTGAATATTTTATATTTGATATGATATCGAGGCTGTTTATGTATATAACATCGATGTTGTATATTTGCATGATATAAATAGGCTGTTTATTTCCTTTTAAGGGTCAACATTTGATATCAGGGATTTCCATTCTATTGTTTTGAAAGACGGAGCTCTTCCTCTGAACATCCTGGAAAAAAATGTCGACCAGTGGATTAATGAAGCAAAACAGAAACCTTCAAAAACAACGACTCGGTGCACATCAGCTGGATCTACGAAGTATTCAAACTTAAGACTGTTGATAATTATTTTCACATTCCTCTTGTGTAAATCTAATTATTGACATAAATATACTTAAATTATATTGGTAATAATATCAGTATATTTAAATTATATTGGTAATAATATCAGTAGTATTGTTAAAATAGTTTTATCAAAGTGATATTATGTGTAATTTTTATAAAGACCGATAAACGTTCAAAGTTTCATTGGAATTTGCTCTTCTAGAGCAAAGTAAAATGTGTTATTTTAATTTCTAATTGTTTAGTAAAATATTTTATAACATAAAATTAGATGCTAGATATTCATATCTTTCAACTGTAATAGAAATAATGTTGAGGCTGATTGAGATAGGAATGCTGCATACTGTGAACTACGAATATTTTCAGCTTTTTCTTTGTGATCTGTTTGTATGAAATTTATTCAATATCCAATAAAGATTGCACTATCAACTTGCATACGAATTGCGAGTAAACTAAACTCAACGTAATGTAAAGATAAGAAACAGAGATCATGTTTTAATCATCAATCATATCAATTTGACGCAGAGCAAAATTATCACAGGTAGGATTACTGTAAATCCCTTTTAATTCGCGAGAACTTTATTTCCGCGTAATTACGCGAGACAATGCGTTGGCGAAAATTTCATTCTCGCGTATAAAAGTATTCCATACGACTATATAGAAGAATAACAACTATTCGTGAAAATTATGTCTCGCTTACAAAGAGTCAATGACAATCTCGCGAAAATAAGATGTCGCGAAAATTTAGTGATCTACAGTACGTGCCACGCAGGATTGAGAATTCAAAATATGATTAATTACCCCTACGAATATATCCCATGTCATTACGGGTAAACGGGTAATATGGAGTTTATTCAGAATTTAAAGAAAAAATGCATAACAATTTGCAAGCAAACATTTTATTTTCTAGCTTAAGAGGTCATTGTGTCGACACGTAGAATTTGCAAAATATTGACTTGAAACGTGACTTTTAATATGCTTGAATCATCAACTTATTTGTCAAAAGCTTGCATACTTTTCAAAAATGCTTGGACGAAGATCGTGTTCCGGCAAGTTATCTGGGAGATATTAACGACATATACAGGCAGTAATTGTATATTGCTGCATAAATAATGTGAAATGACAACAGAGACTCGAAGTTATCAAATAGAACACTCGGGGAATAAGAGCAGTGAGAGTTCACAAGCACTCACCCGCAAGGCGGCAACGTACACTTCAAAATACAGGACGCCAGCCGAAGGAACAAATATGTTAAAGTATATTTGTGTATCAACTTTGATTTGATTTTCGTCGCCAGGACTTCTTTAAAAGATATTTATGTCTGAATAAAAACCGTGCGGTTCTCCTGCTCACAAAAGTTAAAACTTCCAAGTCACAAAGAGACGTTTTAATAAGTAGTTGAGTTCTCTAATTTTCATATACATTTGTATCTGAAATTTGCAATTTTATAATTCCAGTAACTTTTTCCAAGAATTTGTCAAGATTTTTTTTCCAACAAAAAAAGTACACGAACACGCACGATCACTTTAAAAAATAAAGATATTAGTGGTGCAGTATTTTCGGAACTTCACATTTAAAGATATCCTTCGAGTGGTTAAATTTTGAGAAGAAAATGTATTCAAGGGTTACCAGTCAACAAAAACTAAAAGCTAGTTTTTTTTCCTTCACTCTTTGAGATCGGCCATTGGAGCGATGCCATATAAGGATCCCGTTTGCTGTAAATAAGAGCAGTAGAAAACATTTCTCCTCCTTGTATTCTTTTCTGACAACGCTTTATTCCAAAAGCAGAATATACTGATGATTTGAAAACGACATTCAGTAAACAGAAAACAATACAGGACCGGATTAAGGATAGGATTAATTAGCGCCATTAGGGAAAATATCGTTCTCAACCTCGCCAATAATCCATCATCCGGCATCTCTTGAATAGCGCTCACCATGTTGGTGACAAACATTGGAAAGGTTAAAAGCACGAAACATCCAGTGAACAGAGATATCTTTATTACACATCTTCTGTTTCCTAGGGAAGTTTGAAATTTCTTTGATGCATTCTTCGTGACACATTTGATGACGTAACAATACTCCACAAGATTTATGGAGATCAGTCCAAAAATAACAAAAAGTGACCATTGAAACGGATCCCTGTCTGTCAACGAAGTTTGAATATGACAGTTGTTTTCCAGAATCGGTAAATGTATGGCTATAATCCAAGAAAGAAGGCAAGCCACTGCTATATTGAAATGTGTACAAATCTTGGTATACTGAAAAGGAAATCGAAGTGAAATAAACCTATCTGTGTTCATAATGGTAATGGTAAAAGCCCCTAGAGCGTAAAGAGATATGAGAAAAAATCTCTTGGTAATGCATATGTTCGGATTCACCAATATTGTACTTGGAATACATAAAATAACGCCCAAGCACATGTCAGAAATGGCCATTTGTAATGCAGGCATACGGATGGTATATTTGAGCTTTTTGCTTTTTATAAGCACCAGAATTGAAATAAAATTCAAAACAGCAATGGGTAGGCCCAATAAAAACTGGAAATACCCTAAAGTCGAAGCTCCTTTTGAAATTGTTAAATTTCCCGAAATGTTGAATGACTTTTCCATCATTTTACCTCTCTCTAAAAAAAGTATCACAGAGATGTCTTGAAGTTTCCTGGTTTTATGAAGATTCAAGCTTCGGAAATTAAATTTATACTTTGTCCATTGCTGCTTTTCTGACCCATTCGACAAAGAAACATTAAAGATACGATATATGAAGTTCAGTTTGATAACCTCTAAATGACGTTTCGGATATAGTTATCAACAAAAGTTATCTTAGGTATTTGGTTTCATAAACACATTCAATCTTTTTTTCACATTTTAAACATAAGTATCCCAGAATCAATAAATTTAAACTTCTTGGAATGCTTGGTTAACTTCACAGATCTTATTGTTAGAAATAAATTCACTGCATGTTCTCCGAGGAAAGCATTACCACTTCTTGACCGAAGAATAAGATTTTCTTCTTCTGATTAATAATCTACAACATCTCTCATGATGATTTTGACGTAGAAAATAATCACTTTAGTAAGAAATTGGCAATATCCTTAACATATTAATTCCAAAGATTCTATAATTAATCTCTCTCTCTCTCTCTCTCTCTCTCTCTCTCTCTCTCTCTCTCTCTCTCTCTCTCTGTAAATGTGTTTTCTATAGGGGTGCCAGATCGCCTTATAAATAGAGTGTGTTCTTTGTTCTTTTTTTCTACCGTTTTCTACAAATAATGAAGCATTGGCTGTCCTTATAAATGGCGAGCACTTCTTTCTATTTGGGCGGCCTTTACTTGATTAAAGCTACTTAACATCTAATCAAGCATTCGGAAGGATTCATATTCACGGGTAATACATGACATTGTATTAGAATGAAGGATAATTACCTGCGTGCTCAAACTCCGAACATTGAGCATACATTTATTATAAATCTGTTGTGAGATTGAACTCATTAAATAGGTTCTCTGAAGGAATGACGTACATGAATGGCTTTGATCTTTTAAGAACTTTTATTAAAATATCAAGGGAAATCTTTGATAATTTCTCTTTCTTTCATTTCTAATACAGTATTCATATTCTTTTTGCCAATGCATTTCTTAATACCTGTAACCAATGAGAGAATGCACTGGTGATCATTTTTGTAGATGATTGGTTTAAACCTCCTTGCTGCAGAGAGGAATAATATACAATTATGGACTCTTTTGGTGTTGAATATGGTTTGTTATTCACCAGAAAAATATTCATATTGACCGAGGCGAAGCCGAGGTCAATATGGATATTTTTCTGGTGAATAACAAACCATATTCAACACCAAAAGAGTCCATAATTGTTTTATTATATAGTCGGGATTTGAATAGACAAGACATTGAAGGCTGTATGACGACACCATTTTCATTTGCGATCTTCCATGTTGAAAATAAAAAAAAATCTCCAGATTACTGTTTGTAACCTGCGTGTTTTCCTTTCCGACTTTCGCCATGTGTAAGACGTCCAAATGTTAAAAAATAATCCTGAAATAGGTTTGAATATTTGTTTTCCTGCTCAAATACGGAGCTTGCTGCGGCCGTTGCAACCATTGTTTACAACGTTGTTCAATGTTTTGATTGTGACGTCACAATGCCGTTGCACGCGCATTGACCCTCCGGTGAATACGGCCTAAAATCCGGTGAATATGTAGTGTTATGAACTGTTTGCGTTTGTATAGATTATATAGGGAATATAAATAAACTATATAATAATAGTATTTATGGGGGCTACTCCCAGTTTTTATGGTTTAATTTGTAATTTACATGGCTTTATCTTCATAATAAGAAAAACTGAAATCTGTATAATCATATTGAACAAAAAAAGGCATAATATATGTTTTCAACCCAAAAAGATTGCAAAAGGTCCCCTTTGGAAATGTGGATGTGAACCATATTAAAATTCTACTTTAAAGTATGAATATATTAATAATTTGATTAATATCGTGAAAAGTTTTTAACAGCATAAAATTATTAAGTTTGTTTTAATTATTCAGTCTTTAACGTTTTAGATACATGTGCTTGCTCTGCTTTCAATTTGCATTCTTTGAGTGGACTTTAGGCTAAAAAGAACTGTTCCTTATTCATACATTTCATTATAACCTCTGTAATAAGCACAAAAGCGAAAAATCAAAATGTTCTCTATATAATATATCATTATATTATAATATTGACAAACAAATTGACGAAACAAGAATATCAGCTGTCTCGTTTAACGTCATTATTTCGTAAGTTCCGTGGTCGTTAGAATGACCTTGTTAGCACATACAATTTATTTTTGAGTCAATTGCTGACTTATGTTTTCATACTAATTGTTAGTCTATCATTTATACACTTAATTGACGATGGATTTTTCCGTTATTTTCCGATTATGACAAGGAGCACACGGCGGATGTGGCCGGTCGACAGTGGATGCTTACTCCTCAATGGTACCTGATCCCACCTCCGATGTTTTTGAGGTTCGTGTTTTCTCTGCTCCTATTTTGAATTATTTAATGGACTTTTGATCTTGAATACTGTTCGTTATCTCCATACGTTTTATCCTCAAGTTTGATAAGATACTTGTACTGTAAGCTGTTCATGGCTAGACAATGAATGATTCTGGCTTCTCATTATTGCTAAGATCGCATTTTTAACAATGCAAGTAATAACTTCGCCTAATGATATAACAATTCAATGCAATCACTTTTTTATTGATACGCGTTGTCTATGTGATATTAATCTCTCCTAAGGCTACCATAAAAATGTTCAGTTACTTCGAACAGAAAAACAAGCTTTCTCGGTCTTTAAACGATTATAGTGTGTTATACCAATAGTGATATACGAATTTATTTATTTTAGCTTAATGTCTCTTAATATTACCTG